ACCTTTCTTACCTTCAAAACTCTATGAAGAGACAATCCAAAATGGAACAAAAGATAGTGCTAGTAGATGAGACGCCCAGGTTAGAAAACACTCAGTTAGCTCCTGGGCAAGAGCAACAGACAAGTATGAATAGCGCTGTTGCTAACGATGCAACTAGATTAAAACTAAAAGGATATCTATCTAGTGGCTGTCGTGCACAGAAGTGAAAGGAAAGTCTGATGCTACACAACATATGCCATTGGAAGTACATGAGAAGTATCATTCAATGTAACCTGCAAAACAAGAAACTGGATATTTAAATATTGCCGTTCTTGATGTGAATGAATTAAAGCTGACAGGAAGAGGACATGTTCAGTCAGACAATTACAAAATATTTGAGTCTGGAAATGTCAGAGGAAATTGTGTTCTTTACCACCACCAATATGCCCAGGGCTAGATTTGGATTTGTGTCATGAGGTGGTTGTTTCCTCCCTGCTGGGCACCGCCTCCCTTCTCTCATCCCAGCTGGCCCCACAGATGATGCTCAGCTTGGACCCCCCTCCCCTGCACGTTATGGAGGTGGGGAGGGAGAGGCTTTGTGTGAGATGCTCCACAGGGTCCTTGCTAATCTGTTGCATTGATGGGATCACCCAGTTGCCACAAAGCTGCCTGTTTCCCTGTTCCCCCCCCCCCAAGAGAGCGTGATGATCCTCCTTTCAGATGCAGGAAGGGAGCAAAGCCCAAGAAAGGACAAAGCCCTTGGAAGCAGAGAGTGGAATGGGACACCTTTGGGGCTCTTGGGGGCTCTCTGGCTCTTGCGTACCAGAGTGGTCCAGTTGGACTTGGTCAAGGGACAGACTAGGACTTAGGAGACCTGAGTTCCTGTCCCTGTTCGGCTCCCCTGCTTGGGGAGGCAGGTGGCAAAGGCAAAACCTCCCGCGGACATCTCACAGGGCTCAGAAGCCCCGTCCGTGTGTCCGTGCTTTGGAAGGGACTTGATGGCATGGAACAGCAACAGAAAACAGGCCCTGTTGGCCAGTCTGCTGGGATCAAGGGGCTCCCTGCATCTCCTGTGCCAAGGCTAGATTGGGACGGCCACAAATTCTCTGTCCCCCCCCACTTATGCCAACTGTGAGGCCACGTGAATGGGGGAGTCCTCTTCATGCTGGCCATTCTGGGGGGTGGGGTGGGGGGTTCTCTAGCTGGGGCCACTGTTCTCTTGCCCACTCCTCCGACGGTGATGGGGCAAGCACACAAGACACCTTACATCATTCAAAGACAACATTTAAAAGCTAAAAACAGTCAATATACAAATATTTTTAAAGAACCAAACAAATACTGCTATAAGGAATGATAAAAGCAACACCAAAGACACGTTCAAAGCAGCAATCCATTCAAACCTCTGTCTCAGGAAGCAAGAGAAAGCCTGCCAGAAGAGAAAGGTCTTTTGCCTGCTTGTGGAAGGACAGCCTCCAGTGGGAGGGAGTTCCAAAGACTGGGAGCAGCCACAGAGAAGGCCCTCTCCCTTGTGCTTAGCAGAGATGCACCTGTGAAGGTGGAGGCACCGAAAGGAAGTCCTCTCCTGATGATCTTAAAGCCTGGGCAGGCTCACCGAGGGAGAGACAGCCCTTCGGAGGGCTTGGGCCCAAGCCATGAACAGTTACTTCGGTCATCCATTTAGGTTTTGCAGGTCGCTTTACTACAAGAATTATCTTCTTGCATCCTTCCCTTAATTATATATCTGGTTTCAATCTGCAGTTCTTCTGGTCTGCTATCAGCTAAGTTAAATAATGCGAATCCGTTCCTCATATAGACTTTAAATGAATCAGGACTGTTGTTTGAATTATATTTCTGACTATGATTCTTTTCATGTTCTCTTTCAGGATTACTTTAATGTTGTTGTGATCAGCATCACTCTGTTCCTGGCGTTGTTTTGGCAGAGGGAATATCGCTTCTCCGCCTCCTGCAAACAGGGGCATTTGGGAAGTAAACCTGAGCCACGCCTGTTGTGCTCCTTCCACTGTCAGCAAAGGGACTTCCACTGAGCAGATCCCTCCCCAAAACGATTTAAGGGTCTGGATCCACACTTAGGACCCCCCCCCCCGTACAGCGGAGGGTGGTGAGAATTCCGCACCCGAAAGCGCAGGGGGGCCCACCCCCTCCCCCTCTGGGTTATCCTGCTTTCCTGAGACTTCAGCCCTGAGCGGAAGTCACCCCGAAGTCACCCCCGAGGCAGACGCAGGCTGGCCAGAAAATACCGGCCATCCCTGGAGAGCCGCCTCAGGCAGCAGAAGCCAGGAGGGGGCGGAAAGCCAGGCGGCGGAAGGGAAGGCTCCTCTGGGCACCTCCCCGCCACCCCCTCCCCCTCTGGGTTATCCTGCTTTCCTGAGACTTCAGCCCTGAGCGGAAGTCACCCCGAAGTCACCCCCGAGGCAGACGCAGGCTGGCCAGAAAATACCGGCCATCCCTGGAGAGCCGCCTCAGGCAGCAGAAGCCAGGAGGGGGCGGAAAGCCAGGCGGCGGAAGGGAAGGCTCCTCTGGGCACCTCCCCGGGGAAACAGGCGGCGGCTCAGGCGTAGCGGAGGGTCGGGGGGCTTTTCTGCCCCACTTAT